ATCACCCGTATGAGCAACACTGGCGCCCCTCAAGGTTGTGTTCTCTCCCCACTGCTCTTCTCCCTGTACACCAACGACTGCACCTCTAAAGACCCCTCTGCCAAGCTTCTGAAATTTGCAGACGACACTACACTCATCGGCCTCATTCAGGACGGTGATGAGTCTGCTTATAGACAGGAGGCTAAAAAGCTGGCTGCCTGGTGCAGTCTTAACAACCTGGGGCTCAACACGCTCAAAACAGTGGAGATGATCGTGGACTTCAGGAGGAACGCCCCTGCTCTCCCCCCACTCACCATCATGGACAGCACTGTGGCTACAATAGAGTCATTCAGGTTCCTGGGGACCATCATCTCCCAGGACCTGAAGTGGGACACTCACATTGACTCCATTGTGAAAAAGGCCCAACAGAGGTTATACTTCCTTCGTCAGCTGAGGAAATTCAACCTGCCACAGGAGTTGCTGATACAGTTCTACACCGCAATCATTGAATCCGTCCTCTGCACTTCTATAACTGTCTGGTTTGGCTCAGCTACCAAATCTGACCTTAGAAGACTGCAGAGGGTAGTCAGGACTGCTGAGAGAATCATTGGAACATCCCTCCCCACTCTCCAAGATGTGTACTTATCCAGAGTGAGCAAAAGGGCTAAGAAAATTACCCTGGACCCCTCACACCCAGCACACTCCCTCTTTAATCTGCTGCCATCTGGTCGACGCTACAGAGCACTTAGCACCAAAACGACCAGACACAGGAACAGTTTCTTCCCCCAGGCAGTCCATGTCATGAACACTTAACAATGTCATGAACACTTAACAATACACGTGGTACACACAACGCTAAAATAAATAATTTATTTAACACACACACTTATTTATTTTTCATATTTGCACATATCAACATACCTATACAAACGCATCATACCTGGTCATACTGGAATGTCTTTTGCTATTTTGCATGCTATTTTGTATATCTGTATATAACTCTTTTTATTACCTGTGTCTTGTCTTGTCACTGTCATTCTGTTGCACTGTAGAGTTCTGTCACTATAACAAATTCCTCGTATGTGTTAACATACCTGGCAATAAAGCTTATTCTTATTCTGTAAAATATAAAACGTTCTTTGTTTTGTTGCTGAATATATAGATTTTGCTGTTAATGCAGCAGAACAGAAAGTGATCAGCATGATAGGTTTAGCTCATCTGCACTGTTCAGCACAAATACAGACTCCAGTGCAATTAAATCAATATTAGCGGGGTTTACTAGATTTGCTCCAGTTTCATTTTTGATTTGGTCATCCAGAGGGTCTGCTGACAGACAGACAGCTAGCGCAAGTGGCGTGTTGAGAGGCTGTCAGCTGTTCGCAGT